GGCTTATTTTATTTTAAAATACACAGTGGCCGTAAAGAACATAGTAAGAGACTGATCTTTCCCCATGTTTCATGCTTGTTTGTTTGCTTGTTTGTTTTTCTCTGTAGAAGGAAAATCAGCAAAAAATGGCAAAATATTCTTTATTTGACCCACTTTCCAGCATCATTTTTGAACTATTCTCATTTCTGAATGAGTTGTGCTGCTCCATTGGTGCTAGTTCTCCTGTGTGATAGGGTTAACAACTGGAGCTGCGGCTGCTGCTCAGGCCTATTCATCTACTGAGAGGATTACACATTCACAGAAAAGATTATACATCTGCATAAAGGACTTAAGGCAGAACACAAAGACACAGAATCCCAGATTACCTGAAAAAATAGGATTCAGAGGAGACAGAAAAACAGCATAGAGGCACTAAATGATGCGAGAATTATGCTAAAAATGAATATACTTGCCAAAAATAAGACATAATGACATAATTTCGATTCCAAATTTTCTAGCCAAAAATGAAAGAGAAGCATAGTCATCTACACAACGAGTGACAACAACAACAACAAAAAAAGGAAGACAATAATTGTCTAAGAATAGGAGAACAGGGCCATATATAGAATTGAATTCAGAAGAAAATTTCTTCCACAAGTCATGGTTATAAAAATATGCTTTGTGATGCACCATAACTTCAAGCCCATAGATCCTATACAGCTAATTGATGTCTTGTCCTGTTCTCTTCTAGAAGGTCTCAAGGAGACATCTGTTTGGAAGAGAATTTTCATTTTCTTTTCTTTTATTTGTCGGATGTCTCCTTCTTGTTCAATTTTTCCTTATTTTTTTCTTTCTTCTTTCACCCCCACTTCCCCTCTACCTCCTTCCTTTTGTTCTTCTTCCTTGAGTAGTAACCCATGTGTCCTCTCTTAAAGTATTAAGGGGATTTGTCTGTAGATTTTTTTTATTTGCTATTTTTGGTGGTTTTGATAGAAACACTGTGCTTTCTTCACTGAAAAAGAAAACTGGGCACTTTATTTTATTTTCTTTGTTCAGGAATTTTAAAATTAGTATTAGAGATATCCACTCAAAAAATGGGTTGGGCTAGACCTTGAAGCCATCAGTTTCCCACAGGAGGGAGAGAAGAGGTGCATAATGGTGATAATTAGAGGTCTTTGACAACTCTACTTTTTAAAAAAATATGTGGTCTAAGTTTCTTTTCTTTATGGACAGTTTTGAGAATTTACATTGTTATGGGGAATCATCCAGTTTTTAAACTTAATTGCATATGTGTGTGTGTGTGTGTGTGTGTGTGTATCTTTTAATTTCCTTGTTATTTGTATTTATTTTCTCACTTCAATGTCTTAATTCAAGTATTTGTAAATTTTCTCCTGATTATACTAATGATTTTCTCAATTTTATTCACTTGTAATGTCAGCTGTTTTATAGCTTATTAATTTCTATATTTTTAATTTATTCTTCTTGAATTTAATCTGTTTTCATTATTTTTTTAGTTTAATGCTTAATTCATTTATTTTAATTATTTTATATTTAGCAAAATAACTTTTACATGTTACGAATTTAACTCAGAACAACTTCCAATTTATACTACAGGGGCAAGGGATATCTAATAGTTTCCTTGCCTTTATTCTCTAAATATTCTGTAATTTTTCAAAAGTCATTTAAACAGGCTTTTAACTGGTAGGTCTTTGATATCTTACTTTCTTTTGATATATTTAATTGCACGGTGTACAGTGATATTGTCTGCTTATACTTTTTAAAAAATATGTTATTTAGTGATAGATGAACACAATGCCTTTATTTTATGTATTTATTTTTATGTGGTGCTGAGGATTGAATCCAGTGCCTCACATGTGCAAGGCAAGAACTCTGCCACTGAGCCACAATCCCAGTCCCTGCTTCTACTTTTTAAGGTTTATAGTTATCATTGTTACATATGCCAAAAGTCTACAAATGAAACATAAACATTTGTAAACGTAATCTTTCTTTTCAGAGCATGGATATTAATCATTTCAATAAACTGTCATTAATTAAGCTACTTTAGTCTTTATATTTATAATGATTATTATTTGATTTAGTATGTTCTAATATGAAATAAGTGAACTAAAATCTAATACTACCAATGTGATTTTTTTATATTACACTTTTCATCTTTGTAATTTTACTTATGTATTATTTTGAAGTTATATTCTTGGTATGATAATATTCATAATGTCATATGTTGGTCTTTACAAGGATTACATGTTGAGCTCCTCCCCAAAAAGATAGGTTGAGGTTCTAGTTCTAGGACCTCAGAAAATGATTTTGTTTGGATTTAGGGTTTTTGCAGATGCACTCAAGTTAAATGAGGTCACACCATGGGTTCTAATCCAACGTGACTTGTGATCTCATACAAGGGGAAAGTTTGGACACAGGTAAATAGACAGACAGACACACGAACACACACACACACACACACACACACACATGCACATACATACACACACAGGGACAACACCATGTGAACATAAAGGCAGAGGGAAAGGTGATGTGTTTTCATGCTAAAGAGTCTTAAGATTTCCAGCAAATTTCCAGAAGACAGAATACAGGCATGGAGAAAAGCATGGAACATTCTCCCTTGCAGCTTCACAGGCAAACAACACTGTCAATGCCTTGATCTGGGACTTCTAGCCAGCAGAACTATGAGACAATACATTGTTGTTGTTTTAAGCCATTGTTGGTGGTACTTTGTTAAGTGAGTGAGTTCTAGAAAATGAATACGAGTTACTTGGCATGCTTTTTTTTTTTTTTGCTGTGAATTTAACTTACATGATATCAAAAATTTTCTACTAATTTCTATTGTCATTTGCCAGTCTACCTTCCATGATTTCTTTGTTTTCAGCCTTTAGTGCCTCTTTAATTTAAAAACATGATCAGATCATGTCAACCCATTCATGCTATAAGATCCTAGATGGCTTCCCTTACATTAGTATACAATGGTTCCTTTTGAAAACTTTGTCTCCTTCCTGTGAAGCACAAGCCCTTGGACTATTCTCCAGTCTCTTTTCAGACCTTACTGTCTCCCACCTTCCATGGTCTCTAAGACTATGAAACTTCTTTTGGTACTTGTGGTAACCTGAGCTCTTTACTTCCACAAGTTTGTTTCCTTTATCTGCAATCCTGTTCCCTTCACTCTTCAATTGCATTAGCCTACTAGTTCTTCATGTTTCAGCTCAAATTTTGCTTTTTCAGAGATTTCTTCTCTTATCACTCTATCTAATGGGATCTATCTCCTTAACAAGCACAACTTGCAAACTCATCATTCATAATACTATGGGTTAGCATCTGAATTTATTGATTTAGATGATTGATTTATAAATTTATTGTATTTATCTCCTCTACCACCACCAGAATTAAGTTCAAGTCTCTTGCCCACAGTTTTTATCATGTCTAGAGTACTGACCTAGCATGTGGTTGACTGTTTGTTTAAAAAAGTAAGGGAATTTCTATGAAAACAGAGAAAAGACAAATAGAAGGAAGGAAGGAAATCTAAAATTCATTTCATTCTCTTCTCATTCTTTCCTAAACATTGACTTGGAACCTCAAATAAACTCAATTATGCCTTTTGAGATAGAGTATTTATTCTAATCTAACATTTATTCCATTTCTTCTGGTGTTCCAACTAGATCATCATTAGATGTTACAGATTGAAAGGACATTTTTCCCATCATTACAGGAATTTCTACTGGTGCACAATCAATGATAAGTTCTTTCTCACCTGCCCCCATATGCAATGCTCCTATGGTGGGTGTTATAAGATGTCTTCTGCTTCCCTCTAGTGCCCTTTAATGTGTTCTTCCCAGTATTATATATGCTCACATAGTCAAATACGACTTGAACAGTTGAAGAGATCCTAACCAAGAAATCCTTGATATAATCAAAGAGAATCGCAAAATCCTCCGCAACAGGTCATACCCACAGGGATTTCAGGAAAAGAAACTGAAACTTTAGAAGACAGAAGAAAGGGAGGCACACTCCCGGATGATCACCATTTCATGCAGCTTTAATGAAAGCACTTTTACTTATATACTTCCAAGCAAACTTTAGCAGTTGATTATACCTGAATTAGCAACACCAACTAGAAAAGAGCCATGTTTTTGCTAGTTATAAAGAACAAAGGTATGATCTTTAGATCATGTGAACCTACTTCCACTATATCACCATCTGATGGCAGCACATCCCAGATCATAGAAGGAATCTCCTTGTTATTGCTTTAGAACAAACTGTACTGTTGAAATCGTGATCACTGCAATGTTTGTTGATAGGGCATCTGCTATTCCCAGACCATGGGAAACACACATTTTCATGACACAGTCTTTTCTCAGGGTGTTCACAGTGCACTAGGGGAGAAAGGCGTGTGTCTAGATAATTTTAATAACAGTGTCCAGTAGATTTAACAGAGGCTAGAGGAGGGGCTTTCAGACTGATGTGGGGATAAGGTATGATTCCCTGAGGATACAATGCCTAAACTAAGTTGTAATATGTTCAAGTTACTGAAACTACAATGAGAAGTAAAGCAGCAGAAACCATGGAGAGGCGAAAACAGCTAGTTTGTGTAATGAAGAAAAGAGAAAGAGGTCTGCTGGAATCAAAGAAGGGGAAAGTAGGTGTACATTTTAGGCTAGATTAGTTCACCAAATGTCAATTTTGAAAAAATATTCACCCATCTACTAATAAAGAGAATAAAATCCACACAACCTTTGCCCTAATTTATAGCTTTCTTTCTTGTAAAAATCTAGCAATACTATAAAAACCTAATGCCCAGTATTATATTCAGTACAGAGATAAGTAAAGCACAAGAATGGATAGAAAGTGGTAGACACAGGGAGGTGGGGGTGGGGAGGGAGATAAAACCACTGGAATAGTAGATGCTTACTTGGGTGAAAAAACTGCACATACTGAGCCTTAATCATATCTGTGGCTTAAGTCCATTAGCAAGTTAACACTGAGAACATACTTACCAGCACTTGCCCCACAAAGGTCTGTGCTGAAAGCAACATTTCTATACGATCACGGAATACTCCATAAAAATAAAGCCTTCTTAAAGTACTGCTGTGAAAACTACCTGATGAGAGGAAATCCTATAAACAAGAGAAAGAAATCAACAGAGTGAGATGTAACTCAGAGAATGCTATCTGCCTTATTTCTGTTGATGAAGGCTCTTATCATGGTATCAGCCAGAGATCACTCTACCTTGCCCAACCCAGGGAACATCAAAGATGCTTATCCAGTATCTCATAGAATGTATCTTACTGAGTTTGTCTCTCTGAATTTTCTGCACAGTTTTGTTCGTTCTGAATTCTGCAGTCTTTATGCTTGCCTTTCTTGCCTATTCTGAGCCCCAGACCCTCCAAACTGACATGGCTGTCATGTTCAGAGCTGGGAGCAGCAAGCTGCTTTCTGCTCCAGGAATGAGTGTTTTTACATATTTCCATCAAAATACACGGATGAAAGAAAAATTTATAAAGGATATACTGTGATATTTAAGTGATTGCTCAAATATCTGATATTTTTTTTAAACAACAAGGAAGGTGGATAGTTGCAAAAATGTTTTGTTGCCTTTGCTTTCTTACCTGGTATCATATTCTCCCCAATTCACCATCTTTCCTTACATCTGCAGAACACCCCTACTTATTGTATTTGAAATGTTATCATAATAGGATGTGGTAGAGTAGGTATGATTAAATCAATTTTGCATTGCTAAAGAAACCAGGTTATAGAAGAATGAAATAATTTGCTCAAGAGCAGTGTCCATGTCTGTTAACAGAGTCTAGAACAGTCAGAGAGAGGGATGCTGAATAATAAGGGCAGCCACAAGCTGACCGAGTCCTTTGGATTTTCTGAAAAGCTCATTTTACATGGAGCTAGGGTTTCAAAATCATTCAGTTTTTATACTTATATTTTCTGAATGGTATGTAGGGAAGCCTCATTAAAAGAGTCTGATGGAGTTGACATCCTGATCAATGGTTTTGTCCTTAAATACATGTGACTCAGAATGTGCATTCCTGAGATGTTGTCTGAGAATAGATTTTATCAAAAATACTTAATATGGCGTTAATATGGAATACTCATTTGAATTTCATCTTAAAACTGGAGGCACCGTCTGTGGAAAAAAATTGGCTCCAAGATATAATTGAATCATACTTATGGAGGTGGTAAATCCTTGAGAATGGGAAAATTATAACTCTCCAAATAATTTTTAAAAGAAATTTTCACAGTAACAAGATTTGTGACATTTTTACATTTGTCCAACTTTTCCTTAGGCTTATTTAAATATAACAAATTATTGAGAAGAGACTCCAACTTTCTCAAACATTGTCCTTAAATTTGAAAAGCAGAACCTATAGTATTCTGGCTGCTTACACCTAGCTTCTTACCATTTTGTGACACTTTTTTAATATTTGAAATTAAAAGATATACCTGGACTGAATTATACCCAAAGTTGGAGATAAAAAACATAATAAATATGAACTGACAAAAATGTTCACGTTTTCACAATTACATAAAAAATGAATCTAAAGGAGAAGAAGAAACACTTCCTATACCAGGACTCAGGAGATTTTAAAATTCTACAAATTCTGTTGCATAGTTTTCAAAAAATAGATATCTGGAGGTAGATTCGCCATGTCTATTTACACCTAAGTCAGTATCTCAGAATTCTTTCCCATTTTTTTGTGCCACTGCTTAAATTCTTTAATGTGGAAATAATTATTACTAGAGTGAACTCAGCTATAAAATTTATAAATTTCAACATTGGTTACATTTTATATAAACCTAAATTGCATATTGCCCATAACCTTAAAAATTTACTGCATAATTATACATTATATTATTTTATATAGCTCTTTCATGTTAAATGGTTTAAACAAATTTTCTATATTAATTATGAAGCACAGGTAATATGTATTCTATTATATGAAAATTACTATAAACTGTTGGGAGAACAAAACAAAATTTGAGAGACAAACTGGAAAGAAAACTACAAAGGGCGTGGTAAAACACTTTGCCTTTGCCTTTTAGTTATAGAACAGTCATGAGGCAGCATTGAGAGCTTTATTTCAAACTCTTAAGCAATGCCTCCTCTTATTAAGGTGTCCTTTTTTCTTATCATCATCATTCGCCAGCTGTTATTCCACAACACCAACACTTGCAAAGCTGACTTGGGTATAAAAACTGTCTATATGTTTGTGGCTGGTGTAGCTGTACTGTGTTGGCATCCTACATGAGAGACAGCATACTCATGTGACCACATAAGCGTGGATGATTTACTAAAGTGAGGGTGACATTGATATCTTGTTCCTTTTTGCCTTCCTGTGCCCTGTGGTACCTAAAACAATTGTCTTTTTAAGATTATAAGTAGAGGTACAGACATTATAGTTATGGACATTTTTTTTGTCAGAATAGTGACCTCAGTTTCCAGAACTGACATTCATCATCAGAAACAGAAGACATTGTTTCCCCCCAACGTGAGTGAGCGAAAACAGGGCCCTGTGTCTACAAGCTTTGGAATGGTGGCCTGGGGTCCTATCTCCCTAAGATCAGCCTGATAATTTGAGTGAAGCCTAAATTGTCTGTTCAACACAAACACATGCCAAACCTATCACTAATCTTCCTACAGAGGGGTCCCAAGTAAGGACACTGACCAAGACAAATCCGGTGCCCTGGAAGTTTCCCCCTTTTTTTATGATTCTCCAGAGCAATCTGCACAGGAATAAAATGAGGAGTCCACTGAAGAAGGTCACAAAGGAGGAGAGGATAAACGCTGCCTGGACCTCGGTTGTGCAGGTGGTTTTCCCAAAGTCTTCCCCATTTTCCTCTTGTAGCTTAGCTTGATACATCAGGAGACGGAATGGTCGGGTTATTCTGTGATGTCAGGGTGGCATGGTAACCGTTCCAGGAAGTAGAGTCCATTGTATTACAGCATCTGAATGCCGCGTGACAACCAAGGAGGAGTTCTGGGGCAAAGGACTCCATCCACCATGCTGCCATGCTGCAGGCTTCAAGTTGGTCCTCACCTGGGGCCTGCTAGGACCTCACCACATGGGTAGTCAGAAGATGAGATCGCTAGATCTGATGGTTACATTCATTCTCTCTGACCTCAAGGGAACCACATCCTCTGGGACCATGATCCTACTGATTTGGTAGCTAGCTAACTGTTTGGCTTATTTCATCAACTTTTTGGGTGAAATAACATTCAACCCATATGCATGTGGATGAGTTGGTTCTGTATTGGACAGCAGGTCACACCCTCAATCATATCAGACGGACAGAGGAGGAAAGCTTCAAGTTTTTATCATTTTAAAAAGTTGTAGATATGTAGGATACATTGTTCTAAATATCCAGTGTGTAACACAAAGAATAATTAATAATATTTTTGTATATTCCAAATTTTTGCTAAAATAGTGGATGCTAGGTGCACTGGGCCACATGCAAAGGTGAGATGTGATTTTAATTTGAGATGTGAGATGTCTATTTTAATTTGACTCTAGTAACCATTTCATTAGGTATGCATGTTATCAGCACATTATGCTGTTTTCATTAAATAAATATAATTTTGAGAAAACAAGATGTCTTCAAACTGAAATAATTTTTTTAAAAAATTTTCCTTTGAATGAGATAAGTCTATCATACAGCACTGTAAAGAGCAGTTTTACTAGTGCAATCATTGTTTGGTTACTACTTCAGCCTGTAGATTGGGTTTCCTTATCCCTTCTTTTGGAGACCCTCCTCTTTCTTGCTTTTATTCTTACACTGTCAGAAAAATGATTGGCCCATCAGAAGTAAAATTCAAAATGGGAGAAATTCATTGTATCTAGGTGTTTTCAGAGGTATGAGAAATATCATACCTTACAGTGTGCACAGGTGGCGGTTGAATTGTCAGTCTGATGGAGGGCCTGGTTTGCACCAGTCACCAGGAAGATGACCGACAGGAGCAGACGAGACATAGGGGAAATCATGTGACCCTTGGGAGCCCACCATGACTTTGCTCTGGGGAAGGCTATTCTCTGAAGAGAGCAGGAGCAATTCCTAGAACTGCTGCCAGTCATACTTCCTTCCTTGACACTTGCATTTTCACAGCATCTTGTCATTGAGCTAGGGTGAGATTGTGATGAACTCTGGTCTCGCAGTTAGAAGTCCTGAACTCAAGCCTGGGTCCTTCTGCTGAGTTCATGTGTAATGTCTACCAAATCACTTTAATTTTCACGGTCTGATTTGATGTCAAGGACAATACCTACTTGATATAATCATTGTCAAGATTCAAAAACATAGCATGAACATATTTTGAAAAGCATAAAACAAAGAATAATAACAACAAAACATGCCAGTATCATGTCAGTTCCTTTTCTTAGTAGCACTGATTATAAAGGAAGGAAGAGATTACAAAGGAGGAGAGTGAGAGGCAGAGAAGAAGGAAGGAAGAAATCATTTGTTCTTTAGACATGCATGAACTCTCTCCTCTATCCTCCTCCTCCTTCTGTCTTTCTCTCTCCCCAGGCTCTTCCTCTGTTTCACTCACACACACATACACACACACACACACACACACACATACACACACTTATAGTTATTCAGACAACAAGATCAGAGTTTCCAAGTCAAAATTTATCCATTTCCCTTAGTCTGCTTTCTCTTAGATAATGATTAAGCTATCACCACCAATTTATTTTCCCATTTTCTTGATTTCTGCCACTCAATATTTTCAAAGTATTTTAATCCTCTCAAAGGTATTCCTGGCATCTTTTTCCTTTTCCCCATTTGACTCAGTTCAAACACCTAGGTGGTTTGTTTCTCTAATAATCTGCTACCCACATAATAACATTATTAGTTTCAGCACAGGAGACAAAAAGCATGCAGGTGGTTTCAAAGTAAGTTATCTTCTAACTCACTGAACCTAAGGTGACCCAGTCTCCAGTTCTCCAGAAGGGTCCTAGGCTCAGTGCCCTGGGAATGCCCTCAGTCCTGACGTAACTGAGATGGCTGGTCACCCTGCACTCCAGGAATCTCCAGCTACTTTGTGTTCCTGCCACACCACCTCCTCCTAGCCAAGAGAACATAGACACATTTTTCTTCTTCAGACTTTTGCAGCATACTGCCTCTGTCCCCTCTGCCTAGGACACCTGTGGCTCTAGAGGCAGCCTGGTGTCACACTTCAGCTCTCCATTCCTTTAGGTCCCAGCACTTCCTTCTGACTGTCCAGTGGAAAGGAAAACCCCACCACATGTCCTTGTGATCTGTGAATGCGATTCTGAGCCTGTCTTCATTGCACTTCATAGCCTCCCACTGGGTTTACTTCCTATCTTTTCTCCCAGGACTCTGAACTCCACAAGCACTGTACATCACCTGTCTTACTAATCACTATGTACCCAGCATCTCATAGGGTACCTGGCACACACTGGGCAGATGCAATGAATTTAATAAATAATTGTTGATTCAATGAATAAATTAGACATACTCAAATATACGTGGGGTGAATGGAATACTGAATCTTCAGGGACTGTAAACTAAGTCATTCACTGTTATAGTTATTCACTGTTATAGTTGTCCCTCCAAATTCCTGCATGAGCACAGGAATGTCCAGAGGTGAAATGATTAGATTATGAAGCCCAATGGGTGGGTAGACCAGGGGAGGCTTTGTTAGACTGAAGACGCACTCTGGACAAAGGTACTTTTTTTTAGAGTAGTCAAGTTGACCTTGGATTTCTAGATGGTTCTTCTGGGTTTTGGTTGGGGCTATTTGCTGCCAAGCCCTTGCAATAAAATCTAAGAAACGAAGACGATGCTTGCTGTCAAGTGTTTTTGTTTGTGTTTTTTAAAGTTCAAATGAATTCTTTTTAACATATCAGTCATTTAATTAGAAAATTTGCTTCACTTTGTAGACATCTCTGTAATTTACCTCTGGGTACTCAGATTTTCTGAAAAAAATTAGACTTTATAATGAGATTGAATAAATGATTAATTTTAATGATTTACTCTCTTCAAGAAACATGGCCGGGGGGATCCATCATGGCGGCCGGCGAGGAAGCAGCAATTCCAATGTCTCCACTTTAACGGGACCAGAACGACCCACTGCAACAGCCCCAACCTACCTACGGAGGAACTTCTAACAAAATTCCCTTAAGAGGAGAGCAGCCGAGAACTGGTAGGTTTATTG